TGTGGGAGTCGCCAGTGACACTTGGAGAGGGGTGATCGGGAAGAGCGGCCCCCCTGATCTGAACCCGAGCGGTGTCCAGCTGTTGGACTTCTGTGCCAGTCACAGTTTGTCCATCACGAACACCATGTTCGAGCACAAGGGTGTCCACCAGTGCACGTGGCACCAGGACACCCTAGGCCGGAGGTCGATGATCGACTTTGTTGTCGTATCATCTGACCTTCGGCCGCGTGTCTCGGACACTCGGGTAAAGAGAGGGGCGGAGCTGTCAACCGATCATCACCTGGTCGTGAGTTGGATCCTCTACAGGGGAGGAAGCCAGTCAGACCTGGCAGACCCAAGCGTATAGTGAGGGTCTGCTGGGAACGTCTCGCTGAGCCCCCTGTCAGACGGACTTTCAACTCGCACCTCCGGGAGAGTTTCTCCCAGGTCCCGGCGGAGGAGGGGGACATGGAGTCCGAGTGGACCATGTTCTCTGCCTCAATCGCCGATGCGGCGGCTCGTAGCTGTGGTCGCAAGGTCTCTGGTGCTGGTCCCGGCGGCAACCCCCGAACCCGGTGGTGGACACCGGCAGTAAGGGATGCTGTCAGGCTGAAGAAGGAGTCCTATCGAGCCATGATGGTTCGGGGGACTCCTGAGGCAGCTGTCCAGTACCGGCAGGCCAAGCGTGCCGCGGCCCGGGCTGTTGCAGAGGCAAAAACCCGGGACTTGGAGGAGTTCGGAGAGTCCATGGAGCATGACTATCGGTCGGCCTCGAAGAGATTCTGGCAAACCATCCGGCGCCTCAGGAGGGGGAAGCAGTTCTTTGCCAACACCATGTACGGTGCGGGTGGAGAGCTGCTGACCTCGACTGGGGATATTGTCGGGCGGTGGAAGGAATACTTTGAGGTTCTCCTCAATCCCCCCGTCACGTCCTCTGTTACAGAGGCAGAGGCTGAGGATGTTGGGGCGGATACATCCATCTCCCTGGCTGAGGTCACCAAGGTGGTTGGTAGCCTCCATGGTGGCAAGGCTCCGGGTGTGGATGAGATCCGTCCTGACTATCTAAAGTCTCTGGATGTTGTAGGACTGTCTTGGCTGACACGTCTCTGCAACGTCGCGTGGCGATCGGGGACAGTGCCAATGGAGTGGCAGACCGGGGTGGTGGTCCCTCTCTACAAGAAGGGGGACCGGAGGGTGTGTTCCAATTATCGTGGGATCACACTCCTCAGCCTCCCCGGTAAGGTCTACTCCAGGGTACTGGAGAGGAGGTTACGGCCGATGGTCGAATCTCGGATGCAGGAGGAGCAGTGTGGTTTTTGTCCCGGTCGCGGAACACTGGATCAGCTCTATACTCTCCATCGGATACTCGAGGGTTCATGGGAGTTCGCCCAACCTGTCCACATGTGCTTTGTGGATTTGGAGAAGGCGTTCGACTGTGTTCCCCGGGGTGTCCTTTGGGGGGTTCTCCGGGAGTACGGGGTCGGAGGTCCTCTGCTGAGGGCCATCCGATCCCTGTATGACCGGAGCCAGAGCTGTGTTCGCATTGCCGGCAGTAAGTCAGACCTGTTCCCGGTGAATGTTGGCCTCCGACAGGGCTGCCCTTTGTCACCGGTTCTGTTCACTGTATTTATGGACAGAATATCTAGGCGCAGCCAGGGGTCGGAGGGGGTCCGGTTCGGAGACCACAGGATTTCATCTCTGCTGTTTGCGGATGATGTTGTCCTGTTGGCTCCAACGAACCAGGACCTGCAGCATGCACTGGGGCGGTTTGCAGCCGAGTGTGAAGCGGCTGGGATGAGAATCAGCACCTCCAAATCCGAGGCCATGGTGCTCGACCGGAAAAAGGTGCCTTGCCCTCTGCAGGTGGGTGGAGAGGTCCTTCCTCAAGTGGAGGAGTTCAAGTATCTCGGGGTCTTGTTCACGAGTGAGGGAAGAATGGAGCGTGAGATTGACAGGCGGATCGGTGCAGCATGCGCAGTGATGCGGTCTCTGTATCGGACCGTTGTGGTAAAGAGGGAACTGAGCCGAAAGGCAAAGCTCTCGATTTACCGGTCAATCTTCGTTTCCTCCCTCACCTATGGTCATGAGCTTTGGGTAATGACCGAAAGAACGAGATCGCGGATACAAGCGGTCGAAATGAGCTTCCTCCGCAGAGTGGCTGGGCGCTCCCTTAGAGATAGGGTGAGGAGCTCAGTCACACGGGAGGAGCTCGGAGTAGAGCCGCTGCTTCTCCACGTCGAGAGGAACCAGTTGAGGTGGCTCGGGCATCTGTTCCGGATGCCTCCTGGACGCCTCCCTGGGGAGGTGTTCCGGGCACGTCCCACCGGGAGGAGGCCCCGCGGAAGACCTAGGACACGCTGGAGGGACTATGTCTCTCAGCTGGCCTGGGAACGCCTTGGGGTCCCCCCGGACGAGCTGGAGGAAGTGTGTGTGGATAGGGAAGTCTGGGCGTCTCTGCTTAGACTGCTGCCCCCGCGACCCGGCAACGGATAAAGCGGAAGAAAATGGATGGATGGATGGAGTTTGTGTTGAATTGGGACGCAGCCGTAGTCTCTCCACTATGTCTCTTATGTAACGTCACTGTTTTTCCTGTTTGTGTGAATGTGTTTTGTCGATTATAGACATTATTATAAACTTCTATTTTATCGAGTCTTTCGTTTTCACCTGTGATGTCACAAAGACCAGTTACAAGCAGGAAGTGAAGACGGAACCGGACAATGAGACGACCAGGAATCATGATCTTCCGTACAGAAGCCCCGTTTCCACCAACTCTGCTCTGCTCTTCATTCTCTGCTACCGTATCCTAGCAACCGACCCACAACAAACCAGTATCTGTGGAAATTCCTTGGTAACCTTGGCTTCCTGCAGCACTCTGGCCAATCACTGTCTGTTAGAGCGGTAGTACTAGCCCTCTTTCTCTCTTTCGCATCTCTCTCTCTCCCTCTCCTCAGCAGCACTGTGTCCAGTCACTGTCAGTTAGAACACTTAAGTACCAGCTCGGCCTGGATAGAACCAGGGACTAAAGAAGGACCTGGTACTGGTTAAGCCAGACCAGAGCAGTAGAGTAGGGTTTGATGGAAACGGGGCTAAACTCTGAATCTTAATTTGACACTGTTGTCATTCCCGAATAAAGTTGTGAACCAAGGAGTACCATGTGTTTTTCTTTTGGACCAGAACTCTTCCACCTGGTCCTAGCTAGCAGGTTAGCATTGTCCATCTATATCATGGATCTACAGTGCCTTGCGAAAGTATTCGGCCCCCTTGAACCTTTCAACATTTTGCCACATTTCAGGCTTCAAACATAAAGATATAAAAATTTATTTTTTTGTCAAGAATCAAAAACAAGTGGGACACAATCGTGAAGTGGAACGAAATGTATTGGATAATTTAACCTTTTAACAAATAAACTGAAAAGTGGGGCGTGCAATATTATTCGGCCCCCTTGTGCTAATACTTTGCAGCGCCATCTTTTGCTGCAATTACAGCTGCAAGTCGCTTGGGGTATGTCTCTATCAGTTTTGCACATCAAGAGACTGGAATTCTTGCCCATTCTTCCTTGCAAAACAGCTCGAGCTCAGTGAGGTTGGATGGAGAGCGTTTGTGAACAGCAGTCTGCTGTTCACAAACTGACTGCATCTCTGATCAGTCTTCTCCTTGTTTGAGATGAAAGTTTGGAGGGACGGCCGGGTCTTGGTAGATTTGCAGTGGTCTGATACTCCTTCCATTTCAATATAATTGCTTGCACAGTGCTCCTTGAGATGTTTAAAGCTTGGGAAATCTTTTTGTATCCAAATCCGGCTTTAAACTTCTCCACAACAGTATCTCGGACCTGCCTGGTGTGTTCCTTTGTCTTCATGGTTCTCTCCGTGCTTTAAACAGAACCCTGAGACTATCAAAGAGCAGGTGCATTTATACAGAGACTTGATTACACACAGGTGCATTCTATTTATCATCATCAGTCATTTAGGACAACATTGGATCATTCAAAGATCCTCACTGAACTTCTGGAGTGAGTTTGCTGCACTGAAAGTAAAGGGGCCGAATAATATTGCACGGCCCACTTTTCAGTTTTTTATTTGTTAAAAAAGTTTAAATTATCCAATACATTTTGTTCCACTTCACGATTGTGTCCCACTTGTTGTTAATTCATGACAAAAAAATAAAATTTTATATCTTTATGTTTGAAGCCTGAAATGTGGCGAAATGTTGAAAGGTTCAAGGGGGCCGAATACTTTCGCAAAACACTGTATATACAGTCTTAACATATTGTGGTGTTTTAGTATTGGGCGGTACTAATACCAGTTTATTGGTATGGCTCAGTTCATACAATCACACAAGACAGTAAAAAGACACATTCAGTTTTTAACCTGGAGTCAAGAACTGGGACAAAAGGCCTGTTTCACATTTTAAGGAAGACTGATCCGGAGGCCTGGCTCGGCACCAGCAGGACAGTCCCAGATCAGAAACATACTTCAAGTGTTAAACAGTACAGAGGTTCTTAACACAGGGACGATGTGTTCTAAAATAACCCCCAATAAGTGAAAGCCTTAAAGGAGCAGTCGTATGTTTTAAAGCTGAGAGATAGAGAGACCAGAGGCAGAGAGACCAGAGGCAGAAGCCAGAGAGAGAGAGAGAGAGACCACAGACAGAAGCCAGAGAGAGAGAGACCACAGACAGAAGCCAGAGAGAGAGAGACCAGAGACAGAAGCCAGAGAGAGAGAGACCAGAGACAGAAGCCAGAGAGAGAGAGAGACCACAGACAGAAGCCAGAGAGAGAGAGACCAGAGACAGAAGCCAGAGAGAGAACGAGAGACCAGAGAGAGACCACATGGTCACTCCCCCATTTTCAGACACAGTTTCTCAGTAAACTTGCTGTTGATGTCTCGGACCGGAGCCGCCTGGAAGAGCACGCTCCCTACAAAGAGGAGGTGATAGGAGGTCAGAGAGAGAGCGTACAGAGAGACAGAGAGAGACTAGAGAGAGACCAGAAAAAGACCAGAGAGAGCCTAGCCAGCTCTGGGTCATCCAGAACTATCGGACCCACCCACGAACAGGGGCTGGTCTCCGTCGTTGTCGTGGCGACTGAGCAGAAACTCCACCATGTTGTCGGTGTTGGCGAAGATGTCATCGTCTCCGCTCATCAGGAAGCGGCAGCGGCGACACCGGGTCTGGAACCAGTCCAGGAACAGCAGCTGCTTCAGTGTCAGGTTGTAGAAGGAGTCGGTGAAGTCCCACTGCAGGAGGTCCCCGTAGGTCCTCCCCTCCTCCTGCAGGAGCTGGTCCAGGTGCCTCCTCTCCTCGCCGCTCCCTCTGGTCCCTGAGATGAAGACCCGGCGGATGGTCTTCCCCCGATAGCTCCGCTCTTCGGCCCAAGCCTGACGGAGAACCTGGGATTAACGAAGACGTGTCAGGGGCCGTTCACACGGAGACAATGTGGCAGTAAAACACTATGGTTGGTGTCAGTTGCTACCGAAACGCTGCACAGCAGGGGGCGCTCTTTCACACCCGCGTGAGGGAAAAAGGTGTGAAATCCCTGTCTGATCTGACCCCCACCTCCCTGCTGCTCCCCGCACGTACATTTGGACAGAGATACCGACTGAGAGAGTCGGCCTCACCTCCACACACAGCTTGGGCTCTCCTCTCCTTGAGAGGGTTGGACTCTCCACTTTTCTGGTGTTCCTCGCGGGGAGAGGCGGCGAGCGGGGGTGGCCATACCCCATCTCAGCTCCATGCACGTGTTGGCGTTCTCCCCGGTGAATGAGAGGGTGGCGTCCCTCCGCCTTCGGGTGGGGGACAAGTCTCTCACTGTTGTTGTGCCTACGGGCCTAACAGCAGTGCAGAGTACTCAGCCTTCTTGGAGTCCTTGGGAGGGGTACTGGACAGTGCACCGCCCGGGGACTCCGTTATTCTCCTGGGGGACTTCAACACCCATGTGGGGGACGCCAGTGACACTTGGAGAGGGGTGAAGGGGAAGAACGGCCCTGATCTGAACCCGAGCCGTGTTCAGTTGTTGGACCTCTGTGCCAGTCACAGTTTGTCCAACACCATGTTCCAGCACAAGGGTGTCCACCAGGGGGCGCCAGGACCTGAGGCCGATGATCCACTTTGTTGTCATCTGACCTTCGGCCGCGTTTCTCGGACACTCGGGTGAAGAGAGGGGCGGGGCTAAAGAGTGGGGTGGAGCTAAAGAGAGGGGCGGGGCTAAAGAGAGGGACGGGGCTAAAGAGAGGAGCGGAGCTAAAGAGAGGGGCGGAGCTGTCAACCGATCACCACCAGGTCGTGAGTTGGATCCTCTACAGGGGAGGAAGCCGGTCAGACCTGGCAGACCCAAGCGTGTAGTGAGGGTCTGCTGGGAACGTCTTGCTGAGCCCCCTGTCAGACGGACTTTCAACTCTCACCTCCGGGAGAGCTTCTCCCAGGTCCCGGCGGAGGAGGGGGACATAGAGTCCGAGTGGACCATGTTTTCTTCCTCTATCGCCGATGCGGCAGCTCGTAGCTTTGGTTACAGGGTCTCTGGTGCTGGTCCCGACGGCAGCAGAACCCGGTGGTGGACACCGGCAGTAAGGGATGCTGTCAGACTGTAGAAGGAGTCCTATCGAGCCATGATGGTTGGTGGGACTCCTGAGGCAGCTGTCCAGTACCGGCAGGCCAAGCGTGCCGCGACCCGGGCTGTTGCAGAGCCAAAAACCCGGGACTGGGAGGAGTTTGGAGAGTCCATGGAGCATGCAGTGATACTTATAAAAGGTAAATATCAGATGGATATGTAATAATGCAGTAGTACTAACATCAGGTAAAGTTACTAGTGACAAAGTTACTAGTGAATTATCAGTGACATTTGTACAGAGCAGAGAGAGTGTCCTGCAGGGGGCGTAGGAAGATAGGTTGAATTATTCTTTTATAGTAATTCCCCATATTTCCACATAATGCAGTTGTGGCATTATTGGGAATCAAATAATAAACGCAGTGATTTAATATCAGCTACAATTATAATCTCACACAATATGCAAATGGATTTAGATATTTAGATTTTCAAGTACTCAGTATTTTTAAGTCTTCGATATCAATTTCCAATTTAGATTTTCATCAATATTTACTCCTAAACATTTAGCATTGCACATTCTTTCTGTTTTGGTTTGTTTTATATTTAATTTGGTCATTTTAACTTGGTTACATTATTGTAAAGATAGTTTTTATGTCTGTAAGACATACCATGACGTTCCATTTTGGCTGGTAATAAAACATGGTTAATGGTGTCAAAGTCCTTGCTCAGGTCGATAAAAACCCACAATGCACCCTACACTCCTCTACGAAGTGTACATTTGTTTGAAGTGCACGGGTTTGAGTGCAGGTTACGTCATTGACAAGTCAAGAGATGGACATTTTCAGACCTAAACTTTATAAAAATTAAAGGTAATTTCGTCTGAACCTGCGGTAAACAAAAGTTGCTCCACACACGTTAAAATAAATGTATATTGGTTATTTGTAATTTGAGATAGCTGTATAATTTTAAGTTAAATGTGGGTAACTAACTATCTGGTCAGTTTTTATACATCCTAAGATTATTGTACTAAGTGTAAAGTTTAAATTGAATGTTATATGAACGCTTGCTTTAAAAAGTTATGAAATTGTTACCATAGAATGTCAGTCATTTATGCTTCTCTCCAAGTAACAGCAAAACTTATTTACACACATACAGGATATATATTTTAAAACGTACACTTAAATGCATTTTCCCGACGTTTTGGTTTGTACCGCACAGAATTATGGGCAATATCCTTCGCCAGAGTGCGCTTAGATGCAGACTACAGCAAAGTGTGGATCAGGGGCGCAAAGGGGGCGGGGCCAAAGACCTCCCTGGAGGATTGGGACTGTACCCTACGCACTCGCAGCCATCATCGGGAACGGGCAAACGAGGGGCGCCAGGTTGGAAGTGCGAGTGTTGGGACTGGGCCCAACTGTAAACTCATGGTTATCTGCAGTTGATGGGATTTCCTGTACCAGCTCCATGACTGTCGTTGATTATGCAAATAAAAAACTCTCACTTTAGCTTTTAGTGGAGAAATGTGTGTAAAGGCCTGAGTCAGTGGTGTGTGACTCTTTTCGCTCGGGGCCAAACGCAGAATCAGTCAGGGGCCAGAATATAAAGTGGTTTTCTTTTCTTATCATTAATAAGTTGGATATTCTATTTTCAGGAAGATATTTTGGACAAAATAAGTTTACTGTTTCCATTATGGAGTGTGACGCCTTAAATCATTACAGATGATTCCAGGAAGACCTGTTACTTTTAAGGAAACCAGGCAGTGCTGCAGCAGTGTAAAACTTTATGGGGTCAATGTTATTTATTTCGTTGACATTTGGACCCAATTGTTGGAGGTGATACAAGGCTGTGATAAAAGACTGTTATATCTATAGTTTCAGTCGCTCGTAAACTTTATCAGAAGATATGGAACGAAAGGACGTTAAGGTTTGAGCAGTGCAGTAAAAGTAGTTACGTGACTCAGTGACAATGAAAAGATTTTTGCTTCTTTTTACTGAATTAAAACATTATTGCATCGAGGGGAAGGGGCCTTGCACAAGGGAACACTAATACGTGCAGTTGTGCTTGAAAATGACACACAGGAAAGAATCTTGTCCAAATTTGTCCAGATCATTAAAAAGAACCAACACATATTTCCCCCTGATCCTTGTTAGTGGTTGTGTGAAGCCTTTATCAAAATGGAGCCACTCTGGGGAGATCTCAGACATCAGACCACACAGCCCAGTTTTACATTATATCACAGATGCAGCTCCAAAGGCGGTGTAGGACAATGGGGCAGGTGGACGTTTTGAGAAAAAGTTCTTACTTTTGCACATTTGACCCTGTAGTGACCCAGTGTCAGTATGACTGGTCAGCATAGTCCTCATCCCTGTGTTTGTTATGTTTATTTTTATTTTTACAGGGACAGTGTACAATAAGCATTAGCCAAAAGGAGAGATGCATTGTCCAGGTTGTAGCAGCAGTGCTAATTTACAGCTGTAGTCCCTGAGCAAGTTGTTGAAAAACAGTAAAATAAAAGTAGATGGATACATTACCTTATATTATCAGACAGAAATTACAATTTAATTTACCACAATAATAAAATAAGTGATTAAGTCATGTCTCCTGGTGACTGACTTTCATCACAGTCTGGTGGAAGCTCTAGGACCGATTGGAAGGTTTATTCTGTTGATGAACCCCTGCACCAGAAAATATACAAAACAGTTGTTCCTGGAGTTCCCTGATCAAGAGTGAAGGCACCGTGCTGACCCCTGATACAGCCACTGCGTTACTACAAGGTCAAATATATAAATATGTACACTTGTATTACATAATGCTTCTTTAAATGTACTTTCTGTGTAATCTGAGATTCCCTTCTCTGAAAACGAAAGTGAAAGTGACTGATAATAGGCAGGAGAGTCCCGCCCACTTTCATAACCTGCCTGTCTGCTCTGACCCAGCTCCAGTGCAGCTCAGAGACGGAGATGATTCACCAGTGAGAGGTCAGTGACACGTTTATCATATGTTAAAGTGAGAAATACAGTCGACTTCATTACTGCACAAAATATCTATAAGAACAACATGAATTTACTGACATTATTTAAGTTAAGCCAATATTTCTGAGTAGCTCTAATTTAATCAAAAGGATTTGTAGAAAATGCACTGGCTGAAGCATGAAACATGAACATTAATAACTTTTTAATGTTGTTTGTCTCAACAGAAAGTCTTTAAGTCAGACTTTGTGAAAAAAATCAGAGCATGATGACTTTGATAAAACATGTGATATTTATCACATGTTTTATAGTATATATATATATATATATATATATATATATATATATATTAGGGCTGTCAAAATTCTCGCGTTAACGCACGTTAATAAAAACCTTTCATTAATCGCGTAAAAAAAAATCACGCAGTTGACGCATGCCCATCCCATAATGACACTCAGAATGCCGCGGACACGTGTGTGTGAGATGGTGACAGAGCAGATCTCTGGGAATCCAAGTTTTAAAAGCATACACGCCTGACCGCAGACACATGCTGCTGTTTCCTGTATGAACTGCGGGCGCTCTGGACAGCAGGTCCCACCTCCAGCGGCTGTGATCACGGAGAACGGCGCCGCCGTAACGTGATCATATCCAAGAGACCAAGACCATACACGCTCAGAACTATTCTCTGCATGTAGTATGCGTGTCTTTGCGTAACCTGTGAATGCAATAAATACACCTCTGAAGCTGGACTACGGAGCCTTAGTCTCCTCCGTGTCTTCTCCCGAAGCACACTCGCTAAATTAAAGCTGGGGTACCTAATTTTCCCTTCCACTACCAGTTCATGTTGGTTGTGCCAAAAAGTAATGGTGTGAGCAAATCAAACAGATTTAATGGTTCTATATCACGCTTTTCTTCATGTTTCACACTCAATCCTATGCACGTGTGATAATAATGTGTGTGATAAGTTGGATATTCTATTTTCAGGAAGATATTTTGGAAATAAGTTTACTGTTTACATGTGTTTGTCGGCGAGACCAAACCACAGACGCTGGACTCGGGAGCCGGATTTGGGAACTGGCTACTGATTCGCTGTTTTGATCTGTCAATCACCTCCCACTGGCTTTTACTATTATTTTTATTTTTATTATTTTTGACAACAAACAGCATACTTATTGTGTATTGTTTAACCCATTTTGACAAAAGTATTTAAAAATTAATTTAAAGCTGCACTAACTGACTTTATTTTTGTATTCATTACAAAAATACTATCCATGTCCATGCGGTGCATTGGGATATACGAAAGAAAAAGTAGCACAGATTTGTGCTGGCGTGACATTATATTTTATCGAGTTTTGATGAAACAAGGAAGAGAATGTGTTTCGGGTCGCAGATTGTGACCAATCACAGCGGACCACTAGCCCCCGCTTTCGTGAGAAATCTACAGGTCCCTGTTAGCATAGACGGCTGAGTTAGCACAACAAGCCGAGGAGCTAACCTGAAGCTTCCTCGTCTTCGTCATCGGTTACTGCTTACACAGCGAGACAGCCAAAAGAAAGTCCCGTTCCTCCGCGCTTCCCGGTTCTATCGTTCTATGGCCACGCCATCCACGTGCAAATCCATATCCATGTATTATCCATATTGGGAGACGCTAACTCCGTCAACAACAGTGGGTGTGTGTGGGGGGCCATAGCTTGGGGGCGATAGCTTCGTGGGTGCGGGGAGGGGAGCAGAAAGAGCGAGGCCAGCGAGTCTGCGGCTTCAAAATCCTAAAGTCAGTAAGTGCAGCTTTAAATACGAAGCAAACGGGCTTATGCGCGCCATATTTGTCATCAGAATGGTAATCGTCACAGATGTGGAGCCGGGCGTTTCTGTGCCTCTCGAAGGGGGAAGGAGACAGATCGCTCTCTAACTAAAGATTGACAGAATCAATTAATAAACTACTCTGGGCTTGTGTATGAGGCCAAACAGCTGTAATCACGTTTAAAGCAGAGAAAAGTCAAAAACCGTGAAATGGGCCCTTTAATAACAAACAATAGCTTTGGTCTGAGTCTAAACAGAAAGACAGAATGTTAATAATGTTAATGCCATTTTATATGGATTTATAATAAACAAATACAGTACATATAAACACTATGTTGTCATTTATCGTTCTATTCAAACCATTTACAGAAATGGCACCATTTTGTCAATAGTTCAAAATGTGATTAATTCATTTTTAAGCTGTAATTAACTTGATTAAAAATTGTAATCGTTTGACAGCCCTAATATTTATATATGTACATATTAATATTTACATGTGATTTTTATAGATGTATATTGTATTGTATGTATATTGTAAGTGAAAACTGGGACTTTCTATTTCTCTGAAAAAGTTGATCTAAAGATGAAGCCAAATATACCATGAAATCCCTAACTCCTGTCTTCTCATCAGGGTTCAAGTTCTTACAACAAGATAAAGCCCAGATTTTATATTTAATGGATCTGGTAAAAGGGGTTCTACATTTTTAAAAGAAGCGTTAGAATGTTGGTTGTGTTTACAACATTATAACAAACTGTATGGCTAACTTTGAATATTGTTATTGATAGTAAACCTATACTTTGGGAGAAGGCTCCGGAAAAAAGGACTTGTGTTTATAAAAGACATTGTCAGAGAGAACGTTAGATTATGGAGGATAAAAACATTAAGATGTTTTATCTTCAACATAAGAACATGAGTTCTAACCTTCACACATGGTAAGACCTAATGGATGGATCTAGACCCAACGGATCAGTTAATAAATGAGACGGCCTTAAATGCACACAATACATTTGTTTTAAATAATTCCATAAAATAATATGATTTTCTACAGACATAAAAACTCTTTAAAGTGTGTTGCATTCCTATGGCAGAGAGCCATGATTTCCACCGTAAATAATAAAAAGTGACTTTCTGAGGAAGACACATTCTGCTGCTTGTGTGATTCCTTATTTTGTGCAGGTGAGAGTTTGTTGTGTGTAGTAATCGGCTACAACAGCACCATCTACTGGAACAGTGGTAGAACAACCACATTACGCTTGTGATAGACCCCGTGCACTAGAAAATACTAACTTCCGGGTTTGAGACCAGATGTGCGTTTGTTTGTTTCTGGTAGCGTTTTTTCTGTCCTTTACTACTGATGATGGACTCTAAAAAATGCAGGATTTGCAGTCGAAAAGATGGATTTACTTTTCAAAAAGCACACGTTTGTATCCGTCACCACTGTAGCGCCCCCTTGTGCACTGCTGGAGGTGGAGATAACAAAATTTTACGTTTCCACAGTTTACCTAAAGATCCAGATTTTAGCTTATTTGTGTGTGTACATGTATTAAATACAGTCTACATATCTATAGATATATCTCTATATATAGCAGTGTAACTCAGTTTGCAGCAATAATAATAATAATCATACAATTTAAAGTACTACTAATAAAATAGAGGCTCCCCCTGGACTGCCACCTTAACGTGGTGGGGGAGTTTGAGTACTCGGACAATCCTGGGAGCTATGCTGTCTGGGGCTTCAAAAGATTTGTGCGTAAACGAGAGACTGTGCGTAGCACTTCTCTTCATACAACGTGGTTATTTACACACAGATTGTTCTGTTACAGATACAAATGTAAATTTACACACACGCACAGTCCAAGTTACACTTGCGAATCTACAAAGGCAGGACTGTGTCAAAAGATCTATGTGTAAAAAAAAGACTTGTGTAAAACGTAGACTTTGTTTTCACACACAAACTAATATTATTGAAACAATAATACATCGACATGTCTTCAGTGCCGTGTTCCTGTAAGCAAGAGCCCTGTGAGTCACTAATTGTCCCTTTGGGCTGAGTGAAGGTAGTTCACTCTTTTTCACTTCTCTGTCTGAAGGTGGATCCACAGCCGTGACAGAGGTCACAGAACTAGAGAAGAAAACAATTTAAGCAGGTACTAGTTACATCAATTATTACAATATTGTCTTTAAATAAGTAAGGGACAACGTATTTAGTCCACTTTAAGGAATGCTGAAAGGTTTATTTAATGACAGAAAATAAAATAGTTCCCAAAGGCTTTCCCGTGGCTATGCTAGCAACAGTTAGGCTGGCAACTTCCAAACTAGAACTCTCTGGAACTGCATGAAAACTGAACAAAGAATCCTGAACATCAGCGGTGAGTGACCCAAACATAAACCTAACCTAAATCCATAATTCCATCCTCTGCAAATGTTCCTAAAATGTGCCGGTATCTTAAAATGTGCCGGTATCTACTTCCGGGTTTTTCGGGATCGCCTTTTCTCGCATTACATCAGTGTTTTTGTCATGAAGACAAGACCAGTAAATTCTGAAAATCTCCGTGCACTTGTATTAATAATGTATATGTATAAGTATTCTCCGATTAACATTTAAGTGTGTTGATTGAGCGTGGCTAGCTCCGGAGTGGCCAGAACTACTGTCGGAGTTATCCACGCATTTGAAAGACAAGCAGAGAGTGCGTTGCCAAAGGGCAGCGGTCATTATTGTTTTGAGAGGTCTGTTATAGAAAATAATGACCGGTAGAACGTTTTGAAATGACATTCAAATCAATGGAGCGTTCTACTGCTGCTGTGAGGAGAGTGTAATAAGTATTTATAAAAATCAAATCTCAACATTGATGCCACAGGTTGTAGAAAGCAGCTCTGCACATTTCAAGGTTTAATGATTTGAAAAATCCTTTGTTACAGTGAAGCAGTTATTAAAGCAACAACACAGGAGGGCGTGAACAATGTCTGCGAGAGACGGCCACAAGAGGAAGGAGGAGGAGGAGGAGGAGGAGGAAGAGGAGGAGGAGGAGGAAGAGGAGGAGGAGGAGGAGAACGAGAAGGGGAAGGAGGAAGACGAGGAGAACAAGGAGGAAGACGAGGAGAAGGAGGAGGTTTGTGTGTTCAGCTGCAGTAATGTGTGTTTCTCAGTGGAAACATGACCAAACGTTGGAATTGTTTGTTTGCAGGAGTTTCCTGACACTGACAAAGGTACAGTTCTTCATCAAACACTTTCCCTCTCCATGGACTCGGTCTCATTATAATCTTTAGTTGCCAATGTTCACATAGAGCTTGGGTTAATACAGAAAAACAGAGGTGTATAACTCCTCTGGTGTGGTATCTCTGTACCTTGGGTCTCCTCTGGTGTGGTAAATGTACCTTGGGTCTCCTCAGGTGTGGTAAAGTAAGTAAGTATGTAAGTAAAGTTTATTTATAAAGCGCTTTCCACAGATAAGAATCACAAAGTGCTGTAAAGGGCAGTGGACAAAGACGAAACAATATAAAATACATTTACACACATGTACTTAAAAGTGACATTAGTGAGAACCCAATCAACTAAAAGCTTTCTTAAATAAATAAGTCTTCAAGCCTTTTTTAAAAGAGTCCACAGAGTCGGGCCAGACGTAGGGACAGGGGCAGGGCGTTCTACAGTCTGGGGGCAACAGACTGAAAAGACCGGTCCCCTCGAGTCTTATAATGGGTTTTGGGGACCACAAGCAGGTTCTGGCCAGAGGACCGGAGAGTGCGGCCAGAGGAGTACAGGCTCCAAAGGTTCAGGATGTACTGGGGGGCCTGACCATTTAAGGCTCTGAAGGTCAGCACTAAAATCTTAAAATCAATCCTGAATTTTACTGGAAGCCAATGAAGAACAGACAGAACAGGAGTGAGATGGGACCTTCGAGGGGCACCTGTTAAAAGTCTAGCAGTTGGTTGAGTGCAGACTTATTCAAGCAGGTAAAAACAGAGTTGCAAAAGTAGAGTCTTGTTGAAATAAAAGCATGAATGATCATTTCTAGGTCCTTCTTTGATAACATATTGCGGATTTTTGCAATGTTCCTAAGGTGATAAAAGCAGTTACGGACGAGCTGTTTGGAGTGTGTCTCCAGAGACATGGCCTGGTCAAACACAACCCCTAGGTTTCTGAGGCTGGATTAAATGTATGGTAAACGTACCTTGGGTCTCCTCTGGTGTGGTAAACGTACCTTGGGTCTCCTGTGGTGTGGTAAATGTACCTTGGGTCTCCTCTGGTGTGGTATTTCTGTACCTTGGGTCTCCTCTGGTGTGGTAAATGTACCTTGGGTCTCCTCTGGTGTGGTATATGTACCTTGGGTCTCCTCTGGTGTGGTAAATGTACCTTGGGTCTCCTCTGGTGTGGTAAATGTACCTTGGGTCTCCTCTGGTGTGGTATATGTACCTTGGGTCTCCTCTGGTGTGGTAAATGTACCTTGGGTCTCCTCTGGTGTGGTATTTCTGTACCTTGGGTCTCCTCTGGTGTGGTATATGTACCTTGGGTCTCCTCTGGTGTGGTAAATGTACCTTGGGTCTCCTCTGGTGTGGTATTTCTGTACCTTGGGTCTCCTCTGGTGTGGTATAATGATAATAATAAAACATTTGACTTAAAAGCGCCTTTTAAAAGAGGGTGCAATTTAAAAACATTATCAGGTGTTGGGGTGACTGGTCATGGTACAGTTGGTCCAAGACCACAGACTGGTCATGAGACTGGTCATGGTACAGTTGGTCCAAGACCACAGACTGGTCATGAGACTGGTCATGGTACAGTTGGTCCAAGACCACAGACTGGTCATGAGACTGGTCATGAGACTGGTCATGGTTCAGTTGGTCCAAGACCACAGACTGGTCATGAGACTGGTCATGGTTCAGTTGGTCCAAGACCACAGACTGGTCATGAGACTGGTCATGAGACTGGTCATGGTTCAGTTGGTCCAAGACCACAGACTGGTCATGAGACTGGTCATGAGACTGGTCATGGTTCAGTTGGTCCAAGACCACAGACTGGTCATGAGACTGGTCATGAGACTGGTCATGGTACAGTTGGTCCAAGACCACAGACTGGTCATGAGACTGGTCATGAGACTGGTCATGGTACAGTTGGTCCAAGACCACAGACTGGTCATGAGACTGGTCATGTGACTGGTCATGTGACTGGTCATGAGACTGGTCATGTGACTGGTCATGAGACTGGTCATGTGACTGGTCATGAGACTGGTCATGTGACGGGTCATGAGACTGGTCATGTGACTGGTCATGTGACTGGTTGCATGGTTTTGAGTGGAGCATGAATGTCAAGAAGAGAGTGGAGGTGGTTGTTGTAGAGAGAGACCAAGATAAGATAAGAAACTTTATTGATCTCACAGTGGAGAAATGTACATGTCACATTTGGCACAGAGAGAATCACTCAGATTGTGCAAAGGACAGAAGTGTGCAACATGTTAAAGGTTAAAAGTATAAACTGTGCAGGATATAATTATTGGGGCTGGGACTCGATTAAAAAAATTAATCTAATTAATTAGAGGCTTTGTGATTAATTAATCGCATTTTAATCGCATGTAAATATTTGACCTGAGAACAGTGAGAAGTAATTTTTTTCACATGGATTTTTAGTTTACCATTGAATAATGACTGAATACATTAGCTTAAACAACACATGTTCTTCTTCTCCTATCAGATAACGTATCTGTCATCGCCTCCACACACACTGTCCACAGCATACGCTTTGTATAACCAAAATCCACTGCACTCGAAGTGAGCACTGAAGCTTATAATACGATTGTGCATTCGAACTTAAACATCAACAATAGCAGCTCACACACCTGTGTCGCTGCTGCTCCTCCTCCTCCGCCGCCTCCTCCTCCTTCTCTGAGGCGTCGCATGCTGCTGCTCCTCCTCACACACCATAGCTCCATACACAGCATTCTTTCCCGTCTCTAACCATGGATCTAATTCACTCAGATTCAGACACCGCTAAAGTTGGTCTATGCTTGTTATTAGGGGTGGGCGATATGGCCTAAAATTCATATTGCGGTATAATTTGGTGTGTGAATTTCAGAGAGTAATAGGTCTAGCAGGTTCTTGAATGAAATAGTCAAGAGTGTTACTTATTAAAATGTATTGTGAAAAACTGCAATTATACAGAACATTATAAAACAGTATTGCTGGGTTTCAACAACGTAACCAAAAGGGGGCGGGGCATGTGTCCGTATGACAGGAAGTATTTTTCTCCTATTAAACAAAAAGGGCAATGCTGGAAAACGCAGACATAAGAGCTTTTCGCGGCTTAGTATCACTCTTATTATAAGTGAAAAGTAGTTTAATGCAGTGTACACTTTGTAGAGTTTGAATGAGTCAATTTTTCTCAACAATGAGAAAGATTAAGGCTGTTATAGTGACGGCAGTGGAGTCACTCTGGTATCAACAGAACCCTGTCTGAGATGATAGTTCTGATCAATAACATAATAAATATGGCACAAATGTAACTTTAAACAACATTTGAAGCGAGAAATCTGACCCTTTATTGTCATTTCGGTGATTTGTTGAGCTGTAAATAACCAAAAGTACGGAGCTCCAGGGGGAGCTCCGCTATTAGCTTAAGTCCGTAGCATTAAACTAATAGCGTTAAGCTAACAGCAGTGAGTGAGCTAACAGCGGGGGCTGCAATTAGAAAATGTGTTTAACAGTTCTTTCTTTCTGTTGCCTCGGTTACTGCAACCGTTTACCACACAAAAATACTGCATTGTATTGTGAATATTTAATTACTGTTTGCTGTTAGAATATCATGTTGAACAAGTTCAGTAGAGTTTGGGAGGCTTACACTGTACTTTGAACTGCTTACCTAAGCATAAAGCAGATAAGGTATTGATGTATATAACATGGGACGGTGCTATCTCATTGGAGTTTGGTCATTACATAAACATGCTTAGATCATAATTATGACATCTTCTGCCAACTCAACTGAACATTGAAACCATACGCTTTCTTCTGCATAGTCATCTACCAAAGTCTATATGCTCATGTAATCATTTACAGTGTATATAAGCAGCTACAATTCGCCCGTTTCACTAGACTTCTGCCGGCCAGACAAGATGGGGAGGCTGCGTTATGCTTGATCAGAATACGCTCAAACCTTCTGACAATAAAGACTTTATTTTGTACGCAGTTTTGTAGAAGTCTCGTTTTTTGTCTTATGTCTGGGTATTTTTCACATTTTGGTGAAACCCCGACGTGATACAAAAAACCCAAGACAAAAGACAATTTTTATTTTTTTCAAAAACATTTTTTGCTCCGGACAGCGTTTCATCTTCTCTGGCTTCGCAGAAGTCTCCGTAAAAGACACAGCTCCACCACAAAGGTACAAAGTAGATCTACTCACAATAAGGAAAATACAGATGCCTTTTCTAAAAATCTGTTAAATTGGTCTTACATCAAAAAATGTCAATGTGGTTGAGACTGGCTCTTTTATGTCCTGTTTAAATGTAAATATATATATGCGCATTTTTTATAAAAGGATCGCCGCCGTTTTTAGGCTTTTTCGGCGTGAGAAGAATGTAAAAGGGCGATAGAAGCCGTTTTTCGAGGTTTTTTCGGCAGAAGTAGAATTTAAAAACGATTGTAGTATGCGCTGTTTTTTTAGAGATTTTTTCAGCGTCAGAAGAAACAAAAAACGTGTTAATTCAAAGAACTGGTTATTTTCTGATAAATAGTCAAGTAATTAGCGTAAGAAATTCAATAATTACATTTATATGTATGTACATAAAAAGTGGTAGTAGGAGTAGTAGGTTTAAGTGGTAAAATGTTTGTCCTTTGTATAATATTTGTAAATTTTTCAAGTTCAGAATCATGCAAGTCCAAAGGTGGCTTCTGCCCTGGCAGCGGCGATAAAGTTAATCATTAACAGAAAAAGTGGTCCTGTGTGCAGGAGCTGCGATAAAAGTTAACCATTAACCATTACCCAAATAAGTCCTGTGTGTGTTATCTTTCTTGTCCCCTGCATGAGAGAACATGCTGTGTCTGGGAACAGGAGATTCCAGCAGGCTGGGAGAAGAGGTTGGCAGACCTCTCGGACAGTCCTTGGTATCGGTTTGACAAGAATAAAGGTAAGCAGACGCCTTTTCATATATAAAGTCTGTATGATTGGATACTAGCTAAATTTTGAGCTGTCCCGGAGGTCTGTCCAAATCTCTCTAAATCAAATTTTCTTTGTTGTGTCTTTGTCACGTCTTTGTCACGTCTTTGTCATGTCTTATGTTGTAGAAAACAGGTTAGCTGTGTGGGTAACCAGTCCCTATAGGAAAAAGGAACCCCTGACGTGTCGGGGTCCCTGCCTTTGGAGTAGCCGGGGCAGAGAATAGAGAATAGAAAATAGTTAGTGAAACCATGGTATAAAAGTAAAAGCAAGTTAAAAAAGGGAAACGTGTTAAAGAGGCCTTTGTTACAAAAGCTTTGAAATTGACGAATTTCAGGCTGATAAATGACAAAAGTAAAGAAGCAGCAATATTTTCAGTGATCACAGTTTAAATTACAGAGAGATAAAGGGAGTTTTTTGTTTTTTAGTTTGTTTATTGGCGTGAACAGAGTTCACCGGAGAATGCCGAGTTTTTATCTACAGTTGAGCTATGAGAGGGTTGTATATCCAACAGTTGTTTTTGTTTTTTAGAAAGAGATTTTGAGTTTAAATTAGTTTGCTTCCTCGATAAAATAGAAGCGTAAACGTTAAAGACAAGAGTGCCTTTTGTTACAAGTGTGGAAATTGGCCATTTCTAAGACTTGGATGACAAAAGTATAAACTACAACATCAGTTATATTTGCTTAAAAAAGTAATCTTGAAAGTTTTTCCTCTGTGTCTTTCTGCCTGTGTGTGTGCGTGTCTGTGTGAAAGGAACCCCCCCCCTCCCTTGCTGTGCTGCTGAGCTTCTGCTCTGATTTAAAGGGGACCTACTGCTTTAGGATTTCTGGCTTTTCATAGTTGTTATTCCGTTAAATTTGCGAAATTTGCCATTTGAATATTGTGTTATGACACAGTTAAACGTTTTTAAACACCATTTAGTAAAAAGAAGTTTTGAATTAGTATGTTTTTTGAAACCCAAAGATTAGTGCTAAAGCTGTGCAATTTTTTTAGATCTAACATATTTCTAGATTCCATTCTTTTTAAATCTGCTGCTTATTTCTTAACTGTTTGTGAGTTGTGTTTGTTTTTATGTTTTTATTTTAGTTACAAAAACCGTTTTTCAAACATTTAAATTAGAATCTGTGTTAAAAGTTATTATTGATTATAGACTTCGTCTAAAAAGAAAGAGGGAATTAGGATTAGCTGTAAAAGTATTAGTATTATTAAGTTAAACTTCAAAAATGAAACCCAAGAATGCATAGATAATTAAAACACACAGTACAAAAGTACATATTACATATTTTAAAAGTTTAAGGTTTTTTAAGATTTGAGTCTTGTTTTTTATTAAGAGAGTTTCTGGTCTTAAAAATGTTATCAGTAGTAAGATAATAAGTAATCTATATTTACATAGCTCTTGGAAACCCAGAGCGCTCCAAAATGGTTTAGACTTTAGGGAGAAAAACAATCTCATTCACAAACTGATATCTGTTGTTTATAAATTGGCCGTGTCAAGGATTGTTTTTCAGACTCTGGCACACTGTGGGAGAGGTCACTGCTGGACACTGGACAGCGCAAAGCCCACCCAAGCACAGGTCACAGATCAAAGAGCAAAGGAAAATGCCACCTCCTTGCCCCTCCCCACGCCACTGCAGAACTGAGTGGGTGTCAGAGACCGGGGCCATGAGAGAGAGGTTTCTGGAGACATGATGGGTGGAGCATCAGGCAGAGACCTGAATGAGAGTTGAGAATGTGTCCAGTTGGTTTACATCACCACAGTGTGACCTTTGAGACCTACAGGTGGTCCGAGGAGTCTGGAGGCAACCCCAAAATTTACACACACACATACACATACACTCACACATTCACATTTACATATAGATACATGAAAAAGCAGAACATGAGAAAAAAGCATTTTAAAAGTTTACTCCAATGTAAACACATATTTTTAATTGTCTATCACTTGAATCTTTAGTTGAATCAGTATTTTTTGAGACCAGAAATGTTCATTTGAATTCTATATTGTCATGGACTTAATTGACGTCTGTCCTGACACTTTTGATTTGTTGATTTTGTACTGTGTGAAGTAATTACATTGATTAGGATTAGATCTGATAAAAACACAAATTAGAGAAGTAAACTGAATCATTGCGCTTGCTTTTGTCTAAGGGACATTAGCAACAGCATGAATATAAATTGTGTTAAAGTAGAATCAAAGTGACTTAACCATAGAGAGTAACTATTGCATAACAAGCTGTGTACAGGAACTGTGACACTGCACCATTGACCAGAAGTGCATCGCAAATGACCTGATGTGCTTCAAGTGAAAAGACCTGTATCTGGAGACCTGATGTCCAACTGGAGAGACCAAAACCATGGCTTGGACTCTACTGATGTCCAAGATGACATCTCTCTCTATGACTTGACCTGATGACGACTGAGACTCACCCTCAGGGGATCTGAGGACCTGAGGACCTTGGAGAGAAAACTGGGGAGTGATGTTTATATTTTTGAAATCATACATTGATGAGTGCTAAATGAGAGATACTCATGATTCTTTCTTTTGTTTTTGTTTGTCCTTAGCTTCTGGACATCTGATGATCTATTGGACACAGCCATTTGCAGAACAAGAACCAGCCAATGAAAACGTCTATTGCCGATGCTTTTGCTACAACCAGAACCACAACTGTGACAAATGCAATATACATGTTAAGTATTCAGACATCAGACAGACAAAACTTTGATTTTTTAGTCTGGGAGACTGAGCAACTGTTAAAATGTTTTAAAATGATAAAGTATGAGTATTGTAGTGTTTTAATAGTAGTAAAAAAGTAGAATTGTCCTTCCTTTGTTGTTCATAAACACATTTCCACATAAGAGTTAAAATAGTATCATACAATGTTATCCTTTTGATAGAGCAGATATAATATTAGAATCAGAGTTATTTTAGAGATATTAAAAGTGACAGAAGTCACAAATTAGGAATATGCCTTTGCTCAAGCTGCAAATGAGCTTTAGAGTCACAATAGAGTAAAATAGGAATAGATAAATGCATCAACCATAGATGCTTTCAAAAATAGAGAATATTTCTAGCCATTGGTAATATCAAATGGTAAAGGGACCATTCCACAAACCTTTGCTTCAAAAGTAGATAAAGTTCCTTTCAGTTTTACGTACAGTTTTATTAGATATTTGCCAAATTCACTTGTGTTCAAACATCTGTGAATGTTGACAATACAAAAAGTTCATATGAGTGTAGTCTAGATTAATGCCTAGATCAATGAGATAGATTAGAACCAACAGAGATTCAAAAGCATTTAAAAGCATTTTGATGCATTTGGGTATAGCACAAAACACAATAGTAGACATTTAGATATTGAGAAGTTTCCAGCACAGATTAGAAAATCAAACACCATTGTAGAATAATAACTGACCCCAACCCCAAACCTGCTAAAATAGATTAGCTCTTGTAAGAAAAGTGAAATTAGCTTCAAATTTGAGACTCAGCTCGTTTTTGTCTGTGTTTTGACTGAATCTGCTGAGTTCTTGTGTGTCCAATAGAGTTTGTTTTTTGTTTGTTTTTATTTTTGATTTGTTTTGATTTGTGATCACATGTGTATGTGATCAAGAGAGGGACTGTGAATATTTAATTACTGTTTGCTGTTAGAATATCATGTTGAACAAGTTCAGTAGAGTTTGGGAGGCTTACACTGTACTTTGAACTGCTTACCTAAGCATAAAGCAGATAAGGTATTGATGTATATAACATGGGACGGTGCTATCTCATTGGAGTTTGGTCATTACATAAACATGCTTAGATCATAATTATGACATCTTCTGCCAACTCAACTGAACATTGAAACCATACGCTTTCTTCTGCATAGTCATCTACCAAAGTCTATATGCTCATGTAATCATTTACAGTGTATATAAGCAGCTACAATTCGCCCGTTTCACTAGACTTCTGAGGCCAGAGAAGATGGGGAGGCTGCGTTATGCTTGATCAGAATACGCTCAAACCTTCTGACAATAAAGACTTTATTTTGCACTTTTGTCGAAGCCTCTATTTGTCTTATGTCTGGGTATTTTTCACAGTATCTATGAAAGTAAACAAAGTAAAGACTCAGCTGTGTCTGTGGCTGCAGATGCTACGCAAGCTAATGCTAATGCTAGTGCATTTCTCCCGTTCCTTATTAGGCATTTTCCTAAAAATTGACACCCGTTAGAGAAATACATTTTAGCAAAGTAGAGACTCCATAATTTCCCACTTGATATGAGCATTTGCCACAACTGTACAAGCCACAGAAAAAAGAGCATTTTAACTCGGAATCAGTGAATGTTTACATTGTTCTTAGTGGGGAAATGTACTTCCTGTCCCTCGGAGCACTTTCGTCACGTAATTTTACCTATCGCAATATGCCGGTATAACAAAGATCTCTACCGTTGGCCAAATTTATATCGTTTATACCGTTTATATTGCCCAGCCCTACTTGTTATGATGTACTTTTGAACAAGAAAAGTCACGGAGCTCAGTTGGTGCTCCAGTATAATCGGTCCGTTTGAAACTCATCCTCCAGTGAGGAAGGTTCTGCGGTGGAAAAAACACATGCGATTAAAATGCATCCATTTTTTTTTTAGCGCACTAATTTTTGTGGCATTAATTAATCGTAATTAACGCGTTAAAGTCTCATAATAAGTCCCTAATAATTATGTTATACAAAAGTTGCAGTAAAATAAAGAGTGACAATATCAGTGCAGTATTATTCAGTCCTAGGGCATTAGTGACTTAAAGTGACTTGTTGTACAGTCTGACAGCGGTGGGGATAAAGGCCCTGCGTCAGCGCTAGCTCCTCAGCTCCTCTTCAGTCCTACAGTCCTGTGCAGTGGGAGGTGTTGTCTATGATGGAGGTGACTTTGGCTGGAACCCTCCTGTCCCCCACCTCCTTCACCGTCTCCAGGGGCCTCCTGTCCCCCACCTCCTTCTAGAGAGTCCAGGGGCCTCCTGTCCCTCACCTCCTTCACAGAGTCCAGGGGCCTCCTGTCCCCCACCTCCTTCACAGACTCCAGGGGCCTCCTGTCCCCCACCTCCTTCACAGAGTCCAGGGGCCTCCTGTCCCCCACCTCCTTCACAGACTCCAGGGGCATCCTGTCCACCACCTCCTTCAGAGTCCAGGGGCCTCCTGTTTCCCACCTCCTTCACAGAGGCCAGGGGCCTCCTGTCCCCCACCTCCTTCACAGAGTCCAGGGGCCTCCTGTCCCTCACCTCCTTCTACATAGTCTAGGGGCCTCCTGTCCCTCACCTCCTTCTACATAGTCTAGGGGCCTCCTGTCCCTCACCTCCTTCTACAGAATCCAGGGGCCGCCTGTCCCTCACCTCCTTCTAGAGAGTCCAGGGGCCTCCTGTCCCTCACCTCCTCCTGACCTGCTTGTTCAGTCTGTTTCTGTCCCGCTCTGTGCTGCCCGGGGCCCAGCACACGGCAGCGTAGTAAATGGCAGAAGCTACCACAGAGTCATAAAAAGTCCTGAGCAGAGGCCTGCTCACTCCGAAGGACCTCAGCCTCCTCAGAAGGACCTCAGTCTCCTCAGAAGGAAGAGGCGACTTTGGCCCTTCTTGTACAGAGCGTTGGTATTATGGACCAGTCCAGTCCAGCAAGGCAAGGCATGTTTATTTATATAGCACAATTCATACACAAGGCAACTCAAAGTGCTGAACAAAATAAGAAAGCATTAAAATCATAAATAATCATAGAACATTAAAATATAAAATCCCTCAGTTGTAGCACAGCTAAACAGAATTCAATCTGGAGAGACTTCATAAGACAAAATGCAGTTTGAAGGTTTTTAATGATAGGTAGTTTGGCGGCCTAGGCCCCGGTGCGGCACTCAGTAAGCGAGGCCCCTGCTTGAGTGCGCGCACAATCCCCCGGGACCTATAGGCACTGGTGGTGGCATTCGGGCAGCAGGAAGGATCGCAAGCTTGAAGCAAGGAGAGAGAAGGAGGAGGAGGGGAGGCGGTGGTTGTGAGGGTTGAGAAGAAAGTGGGAGTCTCCACTTTTTTTTTTTGCTGCGTGTCTGAGCACTTCCCCATCTGTCTGCTGCATGTCTGAGCACTTCCTCATCTGTCTGCTGCGTGTCTGAGCACTTCCCCATCTGTCTGCTGCATGTCTGAGCACTTCCTCATCTGTCTGCTGCGTGTCTGAGCACTTCCCCATCTGTCTGCTGCGTGTCTGAGCACTTCCCCATCTGTCTGCTGCGTGTCTGAGCACTTCCCCATCTGTCTGCTGCGTGTCTGAGCACTTCCCCATCTGTCTGCTGCGTGTCTGAGCACTTCCCCATCTGTCTGCTGCGTGTCTGAGCACTTCCCCATCTGTCTGCTGCGTGTCTGAGCACTTCCCCATCTGTCTGCTGCGTGTCTGAGCACTTCATCATTCTAATAAAATAACATTAAATCACCAATGCAAAAAGTCCACAAACATTATTTACTGTAAAGAAAAGAGAACCAGCATATTATTAAAAATCCTACAAAAGCTCTCTGCTCCGCATCAAACCAAGTCTTTGCGAAGCACAGGTGCGAGAGACGGGAGGAGGGAGAAAGAGAGAGAGAGAGAGAGAGAGAGATGAAAGAAGCGAGAGGGAGACGCGAGGAGGGAAAGATGCAAGGAGAGAGAGAGAAAGGAGAGACTCTAGGAGAGAGAGAGAGAGAGAAACGTGAGGAACTATGGGGTAAGGTTACTGTCAATAAAGACGTGCATGTCTAAAAAAAATGCGTGCATATTTATTGGTATTTGTGCATACAAATATTGTATTAATTCATGATTAAGATAATACAAACTAAAAAGACATGGAATTTCGTAATTAAGAATAAAAAAAATATAAAACTGTATGTGTGATTTTGTACTTGTGAATGCGATTTTTTTTGTGTGCTTGCATTTTCTTTTAGAGAATACGAATTTCAGCAGTGAGCAAACTGTCAATAATACGTCACTGCTCACAGACATTAACAATCGAGCCTGCGCAGAGTTGATCAACTTCATTGCCTAAAAACTAAACATGGCAGAAGGACACAACATAAACAAAGTGGCTCAAAATCAAGTATATAACTATATTTTATCATTTTGGTTGTAAATGAATGTGTAAGAAATATTAATTCCATAAATGTGTTCATAAGAAGATGTTTCTTGTCCCTCTAAAGGTCTTTTGGCAGTGTTGTTAGCTCCAATGCTAGTTTTATTTTCTTATCCTTATATTGTTTTATTCTACAGAAAATAATGCATTTATTTTAGTCTAAACAACAGACTAACTAGTCTTACTGAACTAGTGAGTAAAAGTAATGTGTCAAATGTACAAATATAAGATTGAGGTCCACAGGGACAGGGTCTGCTACGTCTAACAACCAAGGATGAGTATTGCTCAGGGGCAGTAACAGCTCGAACTATGAATAATCTGGAGGGTTGGGGCTGGTATCAACACTTTAACCACATTGATTTGGGGCAAAGGCTTCATAAAATGTTAATGCTAAGAATATAAAATTGTTGGTTTTAAAATAACATGGTAAGCTGTAAAACTAGCATTGAAGCTAGTGTTAACTAAACACTGCCTAAAAAAACGTTTCTAGAGAGGGACAAGAAACATCTTATGAACACATTTTATGGAATTAATATTTCTTACACGTTTATTTACGACCAAAATGATCAAATATAGTTATTTACCTGATTTTGAGCCAAATTGTTAATGTTGTTGCCCTCTGCCATGAGCAACTCTGCGCAGGCTCGATTGTTAATGTCTGTGAGCAGTGACGTATTATTGACAGTTTGCTCACTGCTGAAATTCGTATTCTCCAAAAGAAAATGCAAGCACACAAAAAAGAATCGTATTCACACATAGTTTTATATTTTTTTATTCTTAATTACGAAATTCCATGTCTTTTTAGTTTGTATTATCTTAATCATGAATTCATAAAAATAAATTATGCACAAATACCAATAAATATGCACGCATTTTTTTTAGACATGCACGTCTTTATTGACAGTAACCTTACCCCATAAGGAACGCAAACAAGAATTAAACAAGTTGCAGAACTCTTGAGCAGTGTTTAAATCAGTGTTTTTCGGGGAAGCACTTTCATGCAGCTCTAGTCAATTTTCATTACAAAACACAGACCCTGACATTTCCTCCCCTGCGGCCGGACTAACCTTGTAAGTCCACTGGTGTTAGCATCTTTGGATATTACAATGTACATTGTGGTAAATAAATCAAAGGCAACTCAAAGTGAGATTGGCATAATGTAAAAACGAATATTAGCCTTGTAAGCATGTTTTAGGATATCTTGATTTCAAGCAATCACATATAGAGGGATCCTACGGTCACGTGACTAGCAGCCACGGCAGCCATACTGGAGGACAACCTCGGCGAGTAACAGCCCTGCTAGCTATCTATAACTGGACGTTCAAAACTAGAACTCTCTCGAACTACATGAAAACTGAACAGAGAATTTGAAACTTCAGCAGTTAGTGACCCAAATATATACTCAACCTAAATTCATGAATCAGATCCTCTGGAAATGCATCCTAAAATGTATTATTAATGTTTATCGTTACGTCCAGGTTTACCGCGGTCGCATATTGTCGCATTAAAACAGTGTTTTTTCTTGAAAACGTGAACAGAACATTCTGAAAACCTCTGTGCACGTGTATTAAGAATGTATATGTATAATGTATTCTCCGATTAACATTTAATGTGTTACACCATGGATCTATGTGTGGCTACACTGCAGTGGAAATAATGAGATTACATTCAAATCAATGGAGCTTTCTGCGTCTACTGTGAGGAGCCGTATATTTTATTAATAAATACTAGTACGGGGCACCCTCGAGCACGGCTCAGTCGTTCACATGTCTGCTGGCCTTCGGTAAGTCAGATACCCTGTGAACCGGGTGAGATCCTGTGTGAGACCAAATATATAACAGCTATGCTACAAGCTAAGCTACAAGCTAAGCTACAAGCTATGCTACAAGCTAAGCTACAGTCTATGGAGCAACCCCACGTTGCAGTCAGACAGATATGTTTTATCCTTAAACTTCTGTTTGTTTCGGAATAACACTAAATCCGCCATCAAATTGATTTCACTGTAGCAGAAATGAAATGATCCGAGCATATTCGGGCGCTCTGGGGGCTATTCGTTTTTTGTTGTTGCATATGGTTGTGCCATTACTCGTTTCTTTGAGATGTCTTCTGTTTTGGAGCCGTGTGAAGTAAGGACGGCTGCAGTCGGTAACACAACTTATTTTCCCTGTCTCTCCTTTTGCTGCAGCCAAAAACGGCAAAAATGTTGAACATGTTTATGCGGTCCCGGGTGCACGCCACTATCATACAGCGTTTGCTTGTCCTCCAGTATGTTCGAGGCATCGTGACGTCACGTGAGATATCTCTATAAGACTAAAAGGTTAAAAGAGTTGGACACTACTATGTACAAAACTGATGAAGATTTGTTTATACCTTGTTCAGATGACAGTGAAACCTCAGATTCTTCCCCAGATCCATCTCAGGTTAATTCGCTGCTCCGACAGATTCTATGCTGAAGGATCATTCTCCTATGTCATACGCTGCATTCGGGCGCCCCCTAGCGTTTATATGCGGAAGTGAAAAAGTGCGACTTTAAAGCCGTTTTTCTAACATAATTCGTCTTAAAATTTCAAAATGAACACCCGAAATATTATAAACCCATATTTTAGTTAAATATTCCGGCTAGAAGCATATTAAATTCTAGTACTACTTTGAAGTGATAGTCTGTAACTCTAAATTAATTACAAATTTTAGGAAATGTGTTAAATTGACCTCCTGGCCTTGAATGTTGATTTAAGTAATTTTCTTAATTCTAATATTACGGGCAAGTCCCACCTTCCCTTCTCTTAAGCCTGGTTCACACGGCAGGATAATTAGGCCGATAATTTGGACCCGATTTACCCCTACGACAATCGTAAGAACGCTCCGAATATTGTAACAAAAAATCTGATGGATGTTCCTGCTGTGTGTGGTGTGTTAAGACTCGTCGCTCGGAAGGACTTCGGGACTGCTCCGATCTCAATATTGGGGATATCCAACATGTTGGATTGTTTTGGCCCAATTTCTCTTCGTGTGTGGTGTCCCCATAGACTGTATATAATAACGGACAGAGTCACGCCTATCTCCGCCGTTCATAGGAGTTGGCCATGAAAAGTGCTTTCATGGAGCAATCCAAGATGGCCGCGAGTGGTCCCGCCCACAAGACAATTGTGAAAAAACGCATCTGCGCATGAGTCACCCCCCTCAGCATTGACACACATGTGGAACGGAGCTTTGGGCCAAGAGCCAACTTTTGGTCCATCCTGTAAAGACGTTTTTGAGAGTTCTGCCAACGCTATATGTTAGCATTGGCTAATTCTTCTTCTGGGTCCACCCCCATCGGCCCGGGGTGGTATTGCAGCATGTCAGCGCACGTCATTTTGGCCACTTTTGAGCTGGGACCCTCCCCCACTGGGTGTCCCCCGGGGACAGACGATCGCGTTGCCATGACTGCGGCGTGTAGCCAATCAGAAAACGAGACGAGCCGGCGAGGAAACACCGTAAAAAAAACCACCAGAAAGTTCGGTGGACTTCAGAGATGGAGGAACAACTAGTTCACCTCTGGCAACACCTTGAATGTATGTATGACGTGTCATGTGAAGAATATCATCACTGAAATGACAAGGAGAGGAATTGGGCAGAAATGGCTGCTGCACAGGTAGTGTTGGCATAAGCCCTGTTCGGACGGGATTAGTACTAAATGATCAGACTGATGGTTGTGTTTGTACGTTTACTTTGCACTCTGTCCTAATACAGTACAGACGTGTTGATGCAGCCGTGCTTGTTGGTTTGCGCGCATGTAAAGTTTCATGTCTAGCAGTGCGTGTGATGCGTTCACACACTCACAGGTAGGCCGAAAATTTTAAAATTGTCTCGTGTGAACCAGGCTTTAGCTATAGCTCAGAATCCACGATGCTGTCCGCGTAAACCAATTGAGGCCGTCAATCATCGGCGCTGATGCACGCAGCTGCGCTCATGCTCAGTTGTTTGTTTTCGCGGAGCCTCCGAATCAAGCCTCTATTAGGCTCTGGAACTACATGAAAACTGAACAAAGAATTCTGAACATCTGCGCTGAGTTACTCATTTAAATACTGAACCTATATCCATAATCAGATCCTCTGCAGATGTGTCCTATAATGTGCAATTCATAATAATAGCTTCTTCCGGGTTTTCCGCAATCGCTTTTTTTGTGCATAAAAACATTATTTTTTTTATTAAAACGTTAACAGATAATTCTGAAAACCTGCGCATGTGTATTAATAATAT